TAATCCATAGGGTTTAATATGATGTCGACCCTTTGCAGCTATAACAGCTTCAACTCTTCTGGGAAGGCTTTCCACAAGGTGTAGGAGTGTGTTTACAGAAATTTTTGACCATTTTTCCAGAACTGCATTTGTGAAGTCAGACACTGATGTTGGACGAGAAGGCCTGGCTCGCAGTCTCTGCTCTAATTCGTCCCAAAGGTGTTCTATCGGGTTGAGGTCAGGACTCTGTGCAGGCCAGTCAAGTTCTTCCACACCAAACTCACTCATCCATGTCTTTATGGACCTTGCTTTGTGCACTGGTGCGCAGTCATGTTGAAACAGGAAGGGGCATCCCCAAACTGTTCCCACAAAGTTGGGAGCATGAAATTGTCCAAAATCTCTTGGTCTGCTGAAGCATTAAGAGTTCCTTTTACTGGAACTAAGGGGCCGAGCCCAACTCCTGAAAAACAACCCCACACCATAATCCCCCCTCCACCAAACTTTACACTTGGCACAATGCAGTCAGACAAGTACCGTTCTCCTGGCAACCGCCAAACCCAGACTCGTCCATCGGATTGCCAGACGGAGAAGCGTGATTCGTCGCTCCAGAGAACACATCTCCACTGCTCTAGAGTCCAGTGGCGGCGCTTTACACCACTCCACTCGACGCGTTGCATTGCACTTGGTGATGTAAGGCTTGGATGCAGCTGCTCAGCCATGGAAACCCATTCCGTGAAGCTCTCTACGCTGTTCTTGAGCTAATCTGAAGGCTACATGAAGTTTGGAAGTCTGTAGTGATTGGCTCTGCAGACTATGCGCCTCAGCATCCGCTGACCCTGCTCTGTCATTTTACGTGGCCTACCACTTTGTGGCTGAGCTGCTGTCGTTCCCAATAGCTTCCACTTTGCTATAATACCACTGACAGTTGACTGTGGAATATTTAGTAGCGAGGAAATTTCACGACTGGACTTGTTGCACAGGTGGCATCCTATCACGGTACCACGCTGGAATTCACTGAGCTCCTGAGAGCGACCCATTCTTTCACAAATGTTTGTAGAAGCAGTCTGCATGCCTAGGTGCTGGGTTTTAAACACCTGTGGCCATGGAAGTGATTGGAACACCTAAATTCTATGATTTGGATGGGTGAGTGAATACCTTTTTACTTGCTAATGTTGATGTGAAAGTGCATGCCTCTACAATCAGTAGACAAGTTTAACTTTCATGGGAGGTGTGCAGGGAGGTAACCTTTGCTCTCTAAGAGAAACATGAAGGCCAGACTGAAGTTTGTCAGAGAGAATGTAGACAAAGACCAAGACTTCTGGAATAATGTTCTTTGGACAGATGAGTCTAAAATTGAAATTATCTGGACACCATAACAGAAGGCAAGTTTGGCGTAAACCAAATACAGCATTCCAGGAAAAGAACCTCATACCACCTGTGAAAGGTGGAAGTGTCATGGTTTGGGGATGCTTTGTTGCAGCAGGACCTGGCCAGCTCATCATCATAGAATCCACCATGAATTCTACCGTGCATCAGAGGGTGCATGAGGAACATGTGAGACCATCTAAAAAAAAAAAAATTAAAGCTAAAGCGCAACTGGGCCCTGCAACATGACAATGACCCAAAACATACCAGTAAATCCACCATAGCCTGGCTGAAAACTAACAAATGGAGAGTCCTGGAACGGCCGAGTCAAAGCCCAGATCTTAATCCCATTGAGATGCTGTGGGGTGACTTGAAACGGGCTGTACATGCAAGAAACCCCTCAAACATCTCACAGCTGAACGAATTAGGCCTTTATTAGTGGGGCAAACTTTCCTCAGACCGATGTCAGAGACGGGTAGATGGCTACAAGAAGCGTCTCACTGAAGTTATTGGGCCAAAGGGGGTAACCCTAGCTATTAGGGGGTAACCCTAGCTATCAGGGGGTAGGGTGTCCTAACTTTTTCCTCAGTTAGAATACGCATTTTTGTTAATATTTTTTCGTTTAATGAGTAAAACAAGGTTAATTTTTGTTGTTTACATGCAATTAAATCATTTTCTTTTCCAGAGATAAATAAAAAGATTAGACATCGATATGTGAAGATTTCATAATAAAAAATTGAATATTTAATGGGGTGTCCTAATTTTTTTCACATAACTGTACACTTCCATTCAATCAAACAGAGTCAGTATTCGAGGACATTGTTACCTCAATATAAAATTCAGTTGTTGATGAAACAAAACTGAAACATATCAGTGTAATTTGTTTCAGTTTCCCTGTAATGGATTTTTTGGACCAAGATAAACAGTTTTCATTCACTGAAATGTACTTTCATTAGGTTTTGTCCATTTTATTTAAAGTGGTTACTTAACAACAGTTAACAGTTACACAAACATAATTAATGCACTTAAAATAAACATATTCCATAGTTCAACAACACTACTGTTTCATTTTTTTTAATGTAAGGAGGCTCATCACACTAACATAACTTTACTGGTCCTAAGAAAAAAGATACAGAACACAAACTAAGTATGTGTTTGTTTATTCAAATATATGGACATATGAACTAATCTCAGAAATGAAGGAAGAAACTACACCAAGGTAAAGCCGCATAAGAACACTTAATTTTGTTTTACAGCCAGCTTAGCAGATAGCTAACAGGCTAACAGACTTAACAGATTCAGGCCTTCATTTACTAAAGGATTCAATGAAATATTGTAAAACAAAAGGTAAAAATATTATATGCACGTCTTAAAAGTTTCAAATGTTAGTCTACAGCTGCCAGAAGAAGTGTGGAAAAGTGAACAAGCACCATCGTTAGCCTGACGCTAACATAACAATGAACTCCATGTAGGCTCTTTCAAAAAGCAGCATCATGCTAGCAGGGTCAAACAAAAGCTATTCACAAAGAGACGTTTTCAGAACCAAACTAAGCATTTCAAACAGTACTTTACTCTATAACGTAGAGTGATGTGGGACGGAGAGTCACACAGTGCATGAAAATACAATATAAGCTTCACTGTAATTTGCTGTTGTGTTTTAACACCAAATAAAGTGTCTGTTCAAAAATGCTGAGTTCAGTATAAAAATATTTCAAATCTTCAGAGATCATTGATGAACTGATACAGAAGTGCCCAGATAATCACAGATTTGCTACAAGGTTAGGATTTTCAGTAAAAAGGCAGAACACTTTGGTTTTTAGTCCAGTTCTCAAAGAATTTTGTCAGCTTATATCTAAACATATGAATAACCACTACTACCAATCCTATCGACAGGTCCAGCAAATGTCATCCTATCTTATCAGAAGTGGGTGATGTACACACCAACACTCAAACAGGCTTTCTTCTTAATTTAGAAATTCGAGAGATTGTGATTTAGAGGGTTTCTTTTGTAAGATGGCACCAATGGCAGGCACTGGAAGAAAATCCCTCATGATCATAACACTTATTTATTTGGGAAAGGTTTGTGCTGCCAGGGTATATTTATATTCTGTTGTTGCTCAGGGCCAGCGCTATAAGAAGTGTAATATAGTTGTTATTGTGTTATCGATATATTATTATAATACACTTATATTACAGTTCATTAAGGCCTCAGTGCCAAAATGAGCACAGCCAGAATGTTTGTGTGTGTGTGCGTCCACTCACTCTAACCCTTAGCCCTTTCCCTCTGTTTTGCGCATTCACGCCTAGAAGTAGGGTGTCCAGATAGAAGGGTAGAGTGGTGAATAGCTAAATTCAGATCACCAAAGAATTAGGGGTGGGCTATAATAAATAATTGGCCCCCTCTTTGAAGGCATAGGATGCCCTAAATTGAACTAAAACCCAGCAGTGAGGAGCTGAACTTTACCATCCTCTGCTATCACTGCAGACCGGCAGCGTCGTCTACAGAGCAGCGCTGGTAGCCTGTTAATGAAGTAATGTTCTTTTTTTAGTTTAGGGTCCCATTTCGCACAAGAAGATTTTAGCCACTAGCCCTTGCAAATCAGTTCCAAGAGACAAGGTGACACTCCAAAACAAGGGGTAGGGGTAAAAATAAGAAACGGGATTAGGGCCTAACTGAACCTGTTTTGATTTCGCTGTTTTTGGGATGTCGCAAAAAACTGTTCATTTACATACATACACTAATTCAGCCTACTGTAGCTTAGCTCCACCCATTCACACTGAAGTTACAGGGAGTGTTTCATCCCAGACTACTTTTTGCATGGGACACAATACAGGACAGCCAGTTAGAACAGAGGTAATTTACATATTATCAGCCTTAAAGGCACAATAACAAATAATAGTCATGTTAAAATATATTATCACTGTTTTTGGTGTGGATGTGTGTATATGTATATATATATATATATATATATATATATATATATATATATATATATATATTTCGTGTCCACGAAATAAATGTCTCTCATTTTATTACATATCTTTAATCTCCAACACGTGCTTAAGTATTCCAAATGACTCTATTAGATTCAGTTAAGATTAAAACTGGTGAACCTGCTTGAACTTCGACTGATTTACTGAAAACAACCCGTTCAAAGAACCAACTGTTCACGAGCGACTGATTCACCCCAGGGACGCCAAAGCTACACAGACGGACAGCTGACATAACGTAACTCCCTTGAACGGTAATGACACGAAATTAAATATCGGCAACAGACAACATTACACACTTACACACTTCTGTCTGGGTTGCCAAAAGCTGCTACGCACTTTGTGTAAGCTAAGTTGGACAGCAAAACAATCGACCGGAGGACTTTATAGGGCGCTTGAGAGCCTGAGAGTACAGCTAAGCTAAGCTAGCAACGGAAACATACTACCTAGTTAGCCAACACTGACACCAGCAGTTTGGAGGAAAAGCACACTTAACAGAAATATGTGGGCTCTGTAAACACTCACTATTTATCATTTTAAACCCACCACCATCAGTATCATGACCACGTTTTTCAGCCTCACATCATTCACCACCAACTTCTCCACCAGCGTTAGCGACCTGCTCGCAGACTCTGTCTGTAAAAGTGAGAATACTAGTTGCTTACCTGTCCTCCAATGGTCACATCAAAGAACACGATTGGATTATTGGGATTTGAAGGTTGGACGTTCATTGTAGAAAGTTATGGTCGGATAAAAGCAACAAAATATAAAAGTAATTCTGAAAGCCCAGAAATACAACAAGCAGAAGGAGCCACTGATTCAAAAAGGTCCTCTACGGCAAGCGTGAGAGGACATTACTACCGGTACTCACGAGGGACATTCTACTATAAGACGGAAACCCTTCAAGAATTACTGTAGTAATCACCAAAACTTACGCCTTACAGTTTCAGCTTATCCGAAATACAGTGTAGTATAATCCACTACTACACTGTGATATTAGTTGTTTTGTAAAGTTTGAAGCTCTGTGTTAAGAAACTGCATTTCCAAATTTTGGAAACAAAGAATTATGGGAAGTGTATGCCTTAAAGACTGCAATATAGAAAAAAAAAAAATCACTTTTTTTTTAAATAAAAAAGTTTGATGTGGTATAGAAACACTATTAAATGTTCAAAACGTTCCACACATTCCCAATTCACAGACTATATAAGGATACCAAGATGCAAAAGCAGACTGATTTATGTCATAAAAACAGTGTACAGTCACTACAGCCTACAGTAGTTTATTTACCCAGAAGTTATAAGGTGCTTCATCCTCGACTGCTTTTTGCATGAAGCAATACAGAACAGCCAATTAGAAGAGAGGTCATTTACATATCAGCTCTAAAGCCACAATAACAAAACAGTGTGTTGAATTTTCAAGGATAAAGAAAGGTTGGAAAACAGTCATGTACATAAAACCATATAAATCACATAAGTGGACCTCAGAGGGAAAGATACCAAAAAATACAAAACAATGTAAAATACAAAACAATGTTGGATATGAGCCAAATTTAACATTGAAAGTCTATATTTTTAAATCATGATGAATTAGCATATACCACAACATATAATTAGAATAAGTCTGTATTTTTAATCTGTTTGAAACACACAGAAACTAGCACCACAGAGTTTCAACTGTTTGGGCTGGTTTCATGGCCATGGATTAGGCTTTAGTCTTGTACTTAATTGCAAGGCCAAAGGTGTTTCACCATGAAAAACCCTACTTCGTCTATACTTGGGCTTAATCTTGGGCTGGGAAATTAGCCCTTAATGTGATGTTTGATCTCCTGCGACTCAAATGTTTCTCCTTTGATGCTTTATTCATTCATCCACATTTCTGGCTTTTTTGTCTTTCAGAACGCTACTAATCACTCATCCAGACTACGGACACATTTTTACTCCTCGTCTAAGACTTCACAGCAGGTATGAGAAAATGTAAAGGAAAGTGACAACAGCATTTAAAATTTCAATTTAATGAAGGGCCTTCCAAAATTTATATACAGCATTGTGTAGCATTTTGTAAGTGTGCTATATATATTTCGATAAAATGACCCACATAGAAAAACAACAAAGGAAAACACATATAGACAGGGGAAGAAACAAGTGTCCAGCAGGGATCCTTATCTCTTGGGCCAATCATGGCGAAATCCTCTGAAAATATAGATTTAAAAAATCATGCATTAAAAACAGGAATTACAGATAACCATGCAGTTGAATGTGAGAGACAGTATTTTTTGGACATAAAAGGAACTTGACAAGAAATAAGTGGTGTAGATTATTACCTCTCAGATCTTGCTGGTAAGTAGGACATGCTCTTACCCCCAACATTTTGCTTGTGTCCTTTTGGGTTTTTCTGAGAAATAAAAAAATTAAATAATTGTACATCAGTGCTTTTTCCTACAGCATCAATAAGAACATATTAAGTAGGGGTGGACGATATGGCAAAAATATAACATCACCATACGCATGTTGATATTGAATTTCGATCATTTTCAGTGGAACAGAAAAAAGAGCTAACAGTGCCACATCAAAATCTAAGAACACTGGCCCTTATTCATCAAAGCTGCATAAAAATGAGTGCAGATTTAATGATCCTGAGCGACATACAAACTACTCCACATCTGATTCACAAAACATGCTGTGTTTTGGTTGAAAAACAAACAAGAGCCTATGCACCAGCACCTTATTTACTTAGCATTTGACGCACCCCACTTTCCCCTCTTATACATATAATTTACATAAAGCACACATTAATTACTGCAGGTATGTCAAAAGTGAACCAATGAAACTCAAGTACTCAGCAGGCTCATGTATAAGGGTTGTCTTAATAAGAGTTTGGGGTCAAGAAAAACATGCGCTGCCCATCCTACTGGCCCAAATAGCTTTACAGTGTTCAAATATCAACAACTGAAGAGAATAAAATGTGAAATAAAACAAAACATCATAGCTTTTTCTCCAGATGAAGTGCTGTTGTTGTATGGTGAGAAAATTATCATAAAACATTGGCTGCTTGAATGATAACATCACAGTATATGAGCTTCTACTGTACTAGATAAGTGCTGTGTTTTGTTTTAGGGAGGTTTATTTACTATTTACTGCATGAGTAGTATAAAGCAAAAGTCTTAAAATGGAATGTATAATCACAGCATTTGTTTATATCTGTGTGCACGTACAAAAAAGTACATATGCTTTGATAAAAGGACAGCTGTGAGCAAATGTATTAGTATTATCATGATTTTCTTTTTTTTTCCAACTGTTATTGCTGACATTGTTATTCATGCTCTCTTTGTAATGAAACCTGCAGGTGGTACTGATGATGTTCATGATATACTCAGAAAAGCATATAGTGGCTTAATTAATCACAAAACACAAATATGTCTGTGGGCCTGTAGCCTCAAGCTTAAAATGTATAGCATTAATTGTTACCTTGCGTTTGAAATCATGAGTTTGTCTGTTTGGGTCAAACTGAGAGGAGTCCTTGGATTTACCCCCTGAAGAATAAAGTAAACATCAGAAAAACAGACCTTTCTTGCACACACATACAAAACACATGTAAAATATCACATTGAATTAATGTTCTATAAATTTATTCAACCTTGCAAAAGTACCTAAAACGTATCTCTGGGTAGACGATGGATTCATCAATTCTTTAAAAATACACAACAAAAAAATGTAATCATACCAGCAAAAACTTTTAATTTTGACTTGCTATAGTCAAAGGGTGTAAAGGCAGCAGACTGTTCCTGTTGAGCATCTTCAGGCTCTTGTTGCTTCTGCTTCTGCTTCTTCTTTGAAGGTGCAGGAGTCTGAACTGCAGGGGGTGTCTCTTTCTCAGTTTTCATGACTTTCTCATCCGGTTTTTGAGTTTCTTCCCCAGCTTCACTGGCAGCCCTCTCTCTCTTCTGCCCTCCTTGCTTTGATTCCTGGTGATGGAAGGTGTGAATACGATGAAATCGGTAGAGTGATGTGAAGTACAGAAGATCGATCCAAGCTCCACTGTGAGAAAGACATGTATACATACACCTCTGATTTAAACCGCTTACCATAAGTTGCTGCCTAACAGTACTGACATTCTGCAGGGACTCCTGATAGCTCTGTTTGGCCTTTTTAAGCTCCTCTGAAAGAAAGGGAGACAAACCATACATTACGTCTCCAGAGAAAATACACACTTATTTTTCCAGAATTGGCAATAAACTGTATGCAATCTGTAGCAAAGGTCTGCAGAGGACAGTTTTTTTAAGTCCCACTCCCGCGAGATTTCATCCCGCTCTCGCCAGCTCACGCAGAAATTAGAATCATTAGTCCCACTCCCGCCGCAAATGATACGTTTTGGCCCACTCCTACCTATGCAGTTCCATCAAGGTGAACTGACAGCCAATATATGATTTATTAGTCTATTCACAAATACATTATTCTCTGCTGACATAACACAGCAGTCATGGTCATCAGGCTCACTGTGAAGTAACTTCAGCAGACGCGAAGCACGAATTAAACCACACAATGGTTATTTTTAGTGTTTTGCTGGGCTCGGTAGCTGTGGCCATCAGACTGAAGGCTCCGCCATCTCTGTAAGCTACAAGAATTTGCATGTTGTTCACGTGATTGGCTGCTTTGCAACTCTTTAAAATGACCTCATTCATTTTCATTTTTTTATTGTTATGATGTTATATTGTTTATGATTTAGTGACCGTTTTACTTTATTTAAGTTGTTCTTTAATTTGCAGTATTTCTTTTCATGTGTGCTTTGTCCTGTTCCTGCCTGCAGCAGGGCTGGTTTCCAGCTCCCACACACACAACACTGAAGATTAGTCCCACGCCACAAGATATTGTTGTGGGTCCCGCTGATCCAGCAGGAATCCCACAGGAGTTGAGACCTCTAATCTGTAGGTACCTTTAGCTTTCTTTGCTTGTTTTTTAGCTTCTTGTTTAGCTTGAGCCTCTTTCTGCTGCTTCTCAATGCTCTGTAGCTTCCAACGATTACTAATCTGTTGAAAGAGCAGGAGAGAAAAGTCATGAAATTGAACAGAAATTAAATGAATTTTAAGTCTTCTGAATTACCCAGAGGCACTCATCTTGGCTATCAGTAAAAGCTTGTAACAGCAACTCAGTAGCACGCAGCCAATTACTAACAATAAACAAGAATGTTACAGTACACTTAAATTGAAAACCTCTAATTAATCAAATCATTTGGATGTCTAGAGGGGTCCAGAGTCATTCCCACAGTTCCTTATGGGTTAGTTTACCAGTAAACAGTAAATCAATTACAGAAACATTACTCAGTTCAAACTTTACAGTACATTTTGTTGTAGTTATTTTAAACATTTGTGTTTAAATTTTTTGGGAATAACAGCAGTATTTTTCAGTCCGGTCATGATGTTCTGAATTAATTTTACAGAATCCCACTGCCTTTTGCCAATTAACAATCTATGATGACAAAAAAAGAACAGCCTAACTTGTACACAGAGCAGCATTAAGCTTGAATGGTGGTAGGAAGCTGATATTTACCTCATAAATCTTTGATGAAGGGTCATATTTTGCATTTTTGGAGATGTGAATATCCTTTGAGGGTAAATACTGAAAACAGGAAATTATGTACTAGTAAAAACGTTCATGAATAACTAAAATCAATAAGAAACAACTAGTTGCCAATTATGGAAGATTGCAATTATACGCGTCATACCATTCGGAAAGGGTTCTCAAAAGACTCCAAGATGCTGCATGCCTTCTGTTGGGCCACAGTGAGGTGACCAGAGTTGTCCACCTTCTCTTCCTCCTTCAACATAAACAGCAAAATGACTCTGGGGATATTATGGTTATCACTTAACACATAACTACTAACTACTACTACTGCAACTTCATAGCAAATCTTGTCAGGGGCACTGAACAGTTTGGATAGTTTGTATCAAACTAACTAGCTGGATGTGCTGGTGAAGGTTTGCTTAACTCCCGTGAAAGTGTCTCTGTGGTAAGAATCACAAACTCCCATATCAATTCTGGATGGAGGGCTCTTTTCATTTTAGCATATGGCACATTCAAGAATATCTTACCGCAAATAGGCTGATTTTTGCAGAAGCTACAAGGCCACCAGTGACATCTTCCTCTGGGAAAAGGTCTCCGTCTTTAGTTGGAGTTTCTATTTGAACATCAGAGAAAGGAAATAAAATACAAATAGAAGCTCAGTAGTGTAAAAATGATCATCTTTTTAGGCTCCATTAATCTATAGCATGCTTCTCTATATCCCTACAACTGATGTTACAAAATATACACCTTAGAGCATTTCACGAACATTGAAGAACTCAAGTTCCAAATGTGAAAGAAATAAAATGATTGAGATTGACTTTTGAAAACTGCTTAGCCAAGCCTTAAGCTGTTAATGTTGTATTATACACTGATACAGTAACTGCTTATCTCATGAAAAGAAATGGCACAGGGTACAAAGCTTTTGTGAGCCTGTACTTTAATATGCTACATCTGCTCCCAGGGGGATAAAGAGTGAAGTGGGTGTGTAATATAAGGAAGTAACAAAAATAAAATGATGCAAATTTCAGTGACTTCAACTAAACTCAACTAAAACAGTGTTAATTTGATGAAATATGAGCCATGGTTTATCATCCATCACCAAAACCGTTGAACTATGAGGGTGGAAATAATAAATATTATTTGATAAAAAGAAAGATGAGAAAGCTGATAAACACATTTAGAATGAAAACTAATGCATATTAGCAAATTAAGTAATCATTTAGCCTCCAAAAAAGTTTCATTAACTGCAGACAAGAGCAGCTCTGTTGTGAAAAAATGACCACTGAAGACACTGGGATGGGTTTGTTTATGGCAACAGATGAGCTACAGTCTCTGTCTAACCAATAAGTAGAACATACAAAGTTCGGGTTCCTGAAAAAGTGGCCAGTGAGTGCATTTAGTTCTTTAAGCAATTCTTATAACTAGATCAATTAAACATCTGACCTACCGTGGGAAGAAAGTTCCATAAGGTCACTCTCGGACACATGAGAGGTATCATGGGGCCCAAACAATGTAGATTCAGACTGCAGAAGAGTTAATAGTGATACATTATGAAGTATATAAATCTAGCAAATACCCTTATTTTACCATGGTCCTCTTGGTAACACACACACTCAATTATTGGCACATTTCATAAAAATGAAATAAAATCAATACATTAAACAAATTTTTGCACTGTGTTTTGGAAAATAAAAGTTTTCTTTAGTAATATATTTGTTTTATTTTGAAAACCATTACTGATATTTGATGAAGCCTCCCCGGAGGCTAACAGCACTGAGCCGCTTTCTGTAATGCTTAACAACTTCCTGAAGTTCCTTGATGTTTTTGGTTCTTTGCTTGGGGACTAACCTGTTGAATACACACCCCAAGTTTTCAATGGTTCCTGGTTTTGTGTTCCTGCAACCATTTCTGTGTAGCTTTTGATGTTTGTTTGGGGTTATTTTCTTGCTGAAAGGTCCATCCATGACTGAGTTTCAGAGGCAGACAGATTTTTGGGCTAAATTAATTTAGTGGAATTCATTGTGATACAGATTTTTTTTTTTAACAAGAGCCTCTGGAGCACTAGCAGTAATACAGCCCCAAAGCATCAGTGACACACCATCATATTTGACAGTGGGTGCCAGGTGCTTTTTAATATATGCAGTTCCTTTTTTCGCAAAGATGATGATGTGCATGACCAAAAAGTTTCATTTTTGTCACATCTGAGTCCACTTGTAGTTTAAATGACATTTTGCAAAGTTCAGGCACTGCATTTTGTGGTTCTGGTCATTTAGGTGGCATCAGAGTGGATTTTGAAACTGATTCAACTAAACTGTGTAGCGGTGAAGCCGTGACCTTTGGGTTCCTCTTTGCCTCTCTTAACATCCTCTTCACTGTACGAGGGAACAATGTGCTCAAGCTTCCTCTCCCGAAAAACTTTCAACTGTTTCTTGCTTTTTTAAATGTTATTATCCCCCTCAATTGTGATTATAATGGTATTTTCAACTGACTACTAATGTTTTATAACCATTTCCTAATCTGTGCAGGTCCACAACCTTCTGTCTCATCTGAGTTTACAGCTCTTAGGTTTTACTCATGTTGATTAATGACAATAAGAGTTTACATGTGTTTAACCTCATATTTATACCCCAGGGAAACAGGAAATGGTCATAGACAACTCCCCCACTACTTCCACCCCCAAAGATGCAAAGTTGTTTAGTTATATTTAAAATATGCCTTAAGGGAGCTAATATGTTTTTGAAATTAGGAATTATTTGTTAGATAAATTATGAGTAAATTCTCCAAACATTTGAAAAACATGTGCACCATTATGTATTGTTCATTTTATAGGATTGGTTTTGCCCAGTTTCTTAATTATAGAGTTGACTGTACATGATATAACAACTGCATTAACTTCAACATACCTTTCTTTTTGGGGTCAAAGACTTCTTCTTTTCAGCTGCTACCTCGGCCTGAGAAGAAATAAAAATCAACTTTATTATTAGCATTATTTGAGACATTTCCGTTATGAATGGACATGTATAAAACATCGCCTGTTGCAACTCCATAACATAAGAATCTACCACTTAAAAAGGAAGAAGAAAAACATTTAATTTTGATGTTATGGTCCAACTACAACTCAATATGAAACGTACTGGACATAGAATACAGTCAAAAATCATAAGTGAACTACAAAGCCAGATCATACCTCACTGTTTGGCTTACCTTGAGCAGTGGGATTTCCCTCGCTTGCTTGATGAGCTGATGGAGCTCATTGATCTGCTGCCGCACTAGTGGGGGTGTGGGGTTACAGCATGCAATGATACCTTGCGGTTCCCTAAAAAAGAAAAAAAGGTAAAGAAAAAGAAAACAAAAAAAGAAACTGTAACCAGTGGTGCTAATGTTAATAATGAATCCCAGTATTTTTAAAACCATGAAGAAAAAAAATAAAAAACTTTAGAAGTTTTTATGTACATTGTAGCTGTGCAACTCTCACAGTATTGTAATGTAGTGTTCACTAATGCTGCAAATAGTCAACGAAGTTTGTACTGAAAACAGACTGTGTGGAAACCTACTTTGGCAACTCCTCAGCGATCTTTCATCATCATGTGGTTGGGTAAAATGTACCTAGAAAAGGATAAAGAAAAAATTTCACAGATTTAAGAAAAAAAAAATTATATATCAGTTATTTTTGTTGCTTTGTTTGTAAAAAGGTTTGTATTACCCAGTGCTCTCATCCTCCTCTCTGGCCAATTTATCTCTCCAGCTGTAAAGGAGGCGGAACGCAACCAGCTGCTGGCTGTTGAAGGTTTTCTTCTGTTTTCTGTAAAGCTCCATATATGATTCCTCAGTGAAGATGGGCTTCACATATTTCTGAAGTGAAGCAAAGTGGTGTCACATCTGATTAAAAATAAGCAACATGCTGGGTCTGTGTAAAATAAATTTTGTCCAAAATCTCCTTCAGTTTTTTTTCTGACATGTAGTAAGTTGGAACAGACAGAGTAGTGCCACGTTTAAAAAATACTATCAACAACTATGAATACAAATGATCTGTATTCAATGTTTCACATCCTCCACTGCACTAAATCCAACTGAACAGGGCTAATTATGCTGTCTTTGTTATTAAACATGCAGTTGGGAAGTGTGGGAGGTACTGATCATATCCACAATATGCACAAAGCACAGTATGCTCAGAAGCCATTATTTCATGATAGCAACTTAGTAACTCAAAACAGTGACTTGTTTCTCAAAATATTAAGTCAAAATTTTGACATGTTGCTGCCAGAAACTGAGAAAGACAAGAAGGATATCTTAGGCAATTATTTTTTCTCCTGTACCCTGGCAGCATTTGGCTTCCATAATCACATCAAACACTTATTTGAAAAATGCAAGAAAATTTTCTACATTTTCATGATATGGACCCTTTGGGTCTTCTTAAGTGTAAGCTTGCCCACAAAAGCTTTATTTTCATTTCTGGTTTGTTCTCACAGTAGAAACATGCCCTTGTCCCTGTCCATTTGTGCAGTTATCATTATTTCTATTGTTTATAAAATGAGTGACCTCACATTTGTCCATTATCATATTTTTTCCAACCACACATTGAAAGGTGTAACTGTACCTTGAGACAGAGATCTTTGCTTTTGGACCAGACAACTTGTATCAAGTTAGACTGTCCGTTAGCTGCGTCAAACAGGTCTGCTCTTAGTCGATCGTACACATACAGCAGGTAATGAGTATCAGCTTGGGCATATTTCAGCATCTCTTCTGGCAAGGGTCTGAGAGGGATCACATGAAGAGTTAGTATAATGTAATCATATTTTGGAAAACTCTACATACTTCACCCTACAATGCAAAAAAGGAAAAATGTTAGGTTGTTTATGGATTACCGTATTCTCCAATCAGCAAGCTGGTAGCGTTTATTTGAGTCCACATTGCAGTAAAGTTTTAGGAGATGGTCCAGAGAGTTTCTACCAAGGTTCAAAGAGCGAGCAGCATGGTGGGTGTCAAACATGTTGACCACATAGACACCAAAGTCTTTCTGAAGCCATTCAACATCAGAGTCAGCACCATGGAAAACCTACACGAAATAAAAACAAGCATTCTGAACAAGAACATATGCACCGCATATGAAAAAGGGCTGTTATTTTCTAAAACCACATGATTGCGTAAAACAACTGTGATTATATTGTTATGTGAACCGGAATGTGAACCTGATTTCTTATGGGAATACTGAAACACTATCCGTAATATCTGAAGATCTTTGTATATGTAAATACAAATATCATTCTAGACACAGTGCTGTGTGAAAGTCAGAGAGCAACTAAGAAAATAAAAATCACCTTCACAATGGTGGGATCAGTGAAGCTCTCATTCAGAATATACATCTCACTGCGAAGCTCCAGGGTGTCAATGATGAAATCCTCTTCCCTGGTGGAGATCTGCATCAAGCAGGTGATTCCCAGGAAGCTTCTGTAGGAATGGTGCTGTGAAATGAAAAAGACATTGGTTGGTGAAAGTTAATGTGATAATATAGAGGTTATATTACTCCCATCCACACAACATGTAAAAGTGCTATGTAACTACACAGCCAGCACTCATTCGTACCTCAAGGTCCACCGCAAATTCTGTGGTCTTGACCAGCTTTTCATTCAAGGCAACCAGATCCTCTAACGTCTCGATAAACGTGCAACTTGTTTCTGCCAAAGGTTTATACAGCTACAAGACAAACAGGGTAATATGACAATTCACTCATACATGAAATCATTAATCAATTATGAAAGCAGACTAAAACAAAGTACACATCATTTTCTGAAGGAGGACCATAAGGTTACCTGGGGTTCAGGTCTACTTCTCAGGGTCTCCAGCATGACCAGGTGGTCTAACTCATACTGGTAAGGATGAGAGAACCTGAAAGATACCAGGACATGAGTCAATGCATGTTCTTTGTCCCCTCGTTATCAAAGACAGAATGTTCTCTAGATTGCTTTTGGTCAAACAATAGAAAAGAGTTGTAAAGTAAGCCTTACATATCATCCATATGCTCTTGTGTTCTTAGTTGGTGGATAAAGTCAGCCAGCGCTGGAGGGACGTCCAAATCCTCTGGTCTCTCCTTCTGCAGCTTCTTGTTTGTGAAATCTACACAAAACACATTAAGTTATATATCTGTTGCTTTTCCAATTACAAATGAATCTCTCACTGTTTTTGGTTTCATCACATTAATTCATGAATTATACAGTACTGCACAAAAGAAAACCTTTATTTAGTTTCCAGTCAAAAAAGCCCTTAAAAGTTATGCATTTTCCAACTTCAGGAAATCTTTGCAACTAAATAATATGATTTTTCAGCACTTAGTTTGTCCACCTTTTTCTTGAATTGCAGCTTCCATTATTTTCAAGAGACTTGCGTTTAGCTTTGCAGGGATATTTTTCCACACCTCGAAAGTTCAGTCTTGGAAGTTGGTTGAAATTTCTTCTCACAAAACTAACAAAATCAGTGATGCTGAAATCTGGGCTCTGGGGTGGCCAGTCCATTGTCCAGAGAAGAGCAATTTGATTTGCAGATGCTGTACTGTTTTTTTGTTTTTTTTTACCTAGTCACAGCTTCTTCACAGCTACACATCCTTTCAGACTCATAGTGTTGAGTTGTCTTCTCACAGTGGAAGGATGGACAGAAACACCTGTGGATTCTTTTTTAGATCTGAAGAAAGTGGAGTTTGATTTTCTCTCCTGTCTTTAAAAGATGAAAGATTTAAGTACTGTTTATCTGACAGTGACAGTTTCACTGGGCTACCAGGTCTGGCATAATCTTTTATTTGGAGACTCGAGTTTTGGAAAGCCCTGTTTTATCACTTATTTTCATTTGACTTTCCCCTTCACTATTCAAGTAGATTATCTTATACCTAATCTCTTTAGAATTATGTCCAGAAAAATGAATAACTTGTACTTAATAGCTGTTTTGACTGGAAGGGTGGTCTCTGACTTTTTCAAAGTATTGTATTTTTATATACACCATAACAAAACTCTAAAAACATGCAGTTCTTTGAACTTATGAGAAGAAGTAGACATTTTTACATTTTTAGCAGCCCCTATCCTATAAATACACTTCCACAGAGAAACTACCTCAGCACAATTACTCTGAGATGCTTTATGTTTATTAGCCACCCAGCGGACATCAAAAGGCTTTCTCAGTCAACTCACATGAAGGCAGTGGTTTTATAGCATTGGGCTTGACAAAGATTTTGGCGACAAAGGGTATGTTGCTGTTGTCCACTTTTTCCTTAAACTTAAGCTGAGGCCGCTGAATGTTCTTGGCGTGAAGGAGACGGAAGGTTTCGGCGCTGCGATCACTGCCCTGTAAAGAAGGAACAAAAGAACAGTGTCAAAACACATTGGCACAACACAAACCTTACTGAGAGAGCTCTACAAACCTGCTAACATGACTAAAAAGGAAAAAAGCAAGCTGGGAGCAACCATCATGACTCACCTTTGCTAATAAAGAATAAACAATAATGACCAATAAATAACAGTGAGATAATAATTCAATGCTGCGTTTTTGGCAGAGGCATTATTCAACCCTTAACAAAGTAAAGGCAGAAAATTACAACATAAACTATTAAACAAACATGACATACAAACCACACAAAAAACACTGACCTTGCGATTCCAGCTAGACACAACAATTTTGGGAGGTTGATAGCCAGCAGGCATAACAGGCTGAGACCGAGTCACCCCAGATGCCTCGTCCAGCATAATGCCCTGATCAAAAATTTAACAGAAATTGATTAGAAGACATTCGCAACGCTGTTTTTGGCTGTGTGCTTGATAACTTAGCTAGAGGCCAAAGAAATGTGAGGACAGAGTACAGTGCAGTGCAGTTGTATGCCAGCCAAGAAGAATGTAAGTGTGCTCTTCCTGGTTAAAACAATATACAAAAACTTGATAAAATTATATAAAACTTTAAATGAATAAAATGTAAACATTACATAAGTAACGTAGTATCACCTAAACATTCTGCTCTTTCAGAGTACAATAAATATGTTGATACTGATATAATCCTTATCATATTGTGAATCCCTATTTCTCAGTTGGCACAAACCACGAACCACTCCCACCACAACAAACTGATAAAGTGAAAAATAGGGATGGCTGATATATTATTGGCCAATAAATGGGTAAATGTTATTGTAATTGTTATGCTGCTGTCTGCCCGATAGGTGAATTATAGCCAATATTCATACTTTTTATTAGCTTAATTAGCGTAGTGTAAAAGTTTTTCTTGCAGTTTCAGCAGAGGACAAAAAATTTTCAACAAATGCATGAGGTACAGCCAAGACAGTCAATAACACTGTAATTACTTATTTACAAACGTATTACTGCCATGATCTATATGGTCTAAAGAATGTGAGTCAGCATTAACACCTGTCATACGATTACCACATTAAGACCTGAACAGATTACAGTATGAATTAGTTTTTTAAAAACAAAACATAAAATCAGTGATTATTAATATCCATACTGTTGATGGTGCAGAAGTCCCACATCAGCCTATCCCCAGTTTGCATTTAATTACAGAAATACTTCAGCCGTTTATTTCATACCACTTTCTCCAGGATGACATCGTTGGACTCAATGACCAGGTCAAAGCGCTCCTCCAGTCCGGTCAGTTTACTCCTGTCCCTCATGAGTGATCTGCAGCCATGGTGCTGCATCAGCTGACTCATACTGAACACAAAGAACAACACATAATGCATTTCTGTACAGTTAACCTGCTAAGTATCATCACAGAGCACCAAATCCAGGCAAGTCAGGCAGTGAAGATCAAACTAAAGATGTAAATAAAGCCAATCACAGTGGAAAGTCTGACCTGTTCAGCAGGGAACCAGACATCTGAACAGTTTAATATCTCTAAAAGCCACCTCACTGGAAGTTATTACAGGAAACAGTTATGCTTGATGCCTAAGACATTGTTTTATGCTAAAACTTTGGCCTAAAACTAATGCTAAGTGGTGGAGTACATGTAAGGCACTGTTAAGGTAAACAGTATCCAAAAGAAAACTCTTTACCACTACTTTACCAATATTACATACAAAAATGAAAGTTCACTGGTGGTTTTCGTAGTAAACACAAATAGTAAATACAGTAAATAAATAATTATATTTGTGGCCAAAGCATTTACAATGGGGTGACCAGCTTAGACTAAGTATTTTTAGTGGGGTGGCATATTATACAGAAAAAATGAAATGAAACAGCATTTAATAACGTTCTTCTGTGCTAATATTAGGCCTACATTACTATTTTTTTTAATTACCTGGTTAACCACATTTTTAAAACTAGCTGAAACTAATTTTGCTCCTGCTTTTGACCAGGTTGTGTGAACAATATTGTTCATTTTGTTCCTTCTGTCATTTTTACTGCTGAATACTGTGTCGCTGGTTAAAATTGTGATCCACAGCACAACACATAACAAAACAAAAATACTCCAGTATATTGAAGTAGAAATTTACTCAGGTGCCTTTCACTATGTTTCCCTAATGTAATCAGGCTACTATAACTTATGGGTAACTGCCCTAATGGCACATTTGATGGCAGACACAATAGACAGAAGAACGCTTCTCTGGTGACTGCTTTACTGATGATAGCGGTCTCACTTTGCATAACTGGGGTGGCCAGAAGGGTGGCCTTATATCATGCTAGGGTGGCCACCCCTGCCCACCCCACAAACCTAACTGACCAGATCATATGGCTAGAAAGTCCAAATCACTTTGAGTACATCTCAATGACAAAATTATGAGGAAAATGTAGGAAAATATCTAAATTTACCCTTTAACAGAACCTGCCTGGCACTGACAGTAACACTGAATAAGCAGACCTTGTGTGTAGTGCACTGTGTGCACAGAATCAGGGCAGGTGAGCGGGTCTGAAACCCACACTCCTCTCACCAGTGTAAAAGTCTCTCTCCTTGTACAGCACAGAAATCCTGGAAGCCAGGGAAACTCCGGTAGAAGTCGTACTCGTCTCCTGTCTGAGGGAGAAACCCGGAGGCTTTCGTAGCAGCAACGACGGAGCCCAGTCCATGCTGTGTGGAGTAAATGAGGAGCGTTAGCTGAGGGGAGCTTCTGTCTGAACACATCCGCAGCTCCACGTTGCTGCGTGTTTATTTTAGACAACACAGCAACGTGCAGGACACACACAGGAAAAGAAAACCCCGTCAGGGCCAACTGACCTTAACAAACGCGTCCACGTCTTTAAAACCTGGGCAAAACTCTTCTGTGTCACTCTCCATGTCTTTATTTGAGGAATTATTACTCGCTTTAGCGCTGCCATCCGCACTCGAGGAGGCAGCCATGATCAGCAAATATCGCGAGAACAGCGGCCTCGCTGGAGGTTTTAATCTTCTTCTCTCGGTTTTAACGCCGTTGCTGGAGACGCTCTGTCACCATCTGCCGGACTAAAGTGTTCAAATCAGTTCGGTTCGTTTTTATTCCTCTGGTTACAGACAGTGTGCGAAATACCGTCCAGAATTCGGGGTGTCCCATGTTAGCTGGCTGCTAACTCACTCGCCACAGCGGCGCTAATGCCAGCTTCAGCTAAGTGTTTGATTTAACAGCTGTTCTGGAAGTGCTGGTTTCGGGTCTGGTAATGCAGTCTTCCACACGTTAATTGAAATCTTAGTTACACATCTCCATTTTGTCTTCGCTTTGAGAAATGAGTAACAATTCACTCTTTCCACCAAACTCTTGGGAATTTGGGCGAGTTTTCAGGTTTACAAATATGGCATGTTGTTAAGTTTATCAGAGGTATCCCCTCTCCCCAGAGAAGTTGTAGCGAAGAGAAGTACCGCTCTGTAACGTCCTCCGGGTTTCTCAAACGCTAGAGGGCGCTCCCGAGCGAGTCCAAAATGAATGGGTTAGGATGGAGCATTTGAGCAAAATCAAAGTCTAGAGATGCTTAAACATTTTTAATATAAAGGAATACATTTATTTCATAAACACAAAACAGCATAAAACATTTTAACACTGCTGATATATTTTTAAGTCCTTTTGAACTCGAGTTATGCAAGTTTAACACGGTGCCTCACGTACGTTCATTACGTCAGTGAGTTCGAACAGCCAATGAGCTGCTCCGCTCGCCAACCAATCAGCACTCACTAGCAGTAATGTTAGCATCCTGCAGCCCAAAACCCGTTTGCTGTAGAAAAAGGAAACATACAGGTAAGTTTTATTTGCTTTAGTGAAATACATCCTTCTAATTTCTACAATTTTATTTTTATTTAAAATTTAAAATTTTTATTTTAACATGTTTTCAGCCATTTAGCTCATTTCACCCTAATTCACTGAGGACTCACTTGCGGGCGCCCTCTGGCGTTTTGCAGTCATGTTTTTGATATGACGAGGGAAATAGGAAGAGGCCAGTCACAGCTGCTGAGCTATGATGGACCAACCGGGAGAGCCGGTCATCTATAGCGCCCCCCTGTGGCAGAGCAGTGCTGCATCTCATGTTAGTTAAGAATACCAAAGACAGAAGCTCGCTGATTGTGGGAGAAGCAGATAAACAATGACATTTACCTGCATTTGCATTTGAACATCTATTTTAACCTAACAAAAAGCATAAAAGTTTATTTTTAGAGACCCCCAGAAATTTGATTTTTGACATATTCAGGGGGTCCAAGAGCTTAATTAGGGGACCCCTCCCAGGACCCTGTGTATTTCACATCTTGGTTGGAGGGACACTCCGACCAAAATGAAAAATGTAACCATTGTTATATCTGTTGTAGACATAACTTACCTACAATAGTGGCACTACAGTATTCCTGAGAGTGAGATTTTCTGGTTTCAAGACGGGAAAACCCTCTCCTGATTACGCATCTTGAAGGTCGGCGGAACTTTTTTCCACTAATGCTTTATTTATACACAGGAAATTCCAAATGTACATAGTGACAATGTTTTTAGGGGTTAAAACAAGAGAGACACATTCTATATTTTTCACACCCGATGTAAATGTCAACACTCAAAAATAAAAAAAAAAAAATCAATAAATAAGGAGTAAAGGTTATTGTAAGTTGGTCTATTTTTATTGAAAGTAAGAGATCTATAGAAGAAACCCAAACGCTGTTCACTCATTTTGTTCATTAGGCAGTTTTTTTATTGTTGTTAATTGAACAGGACTATCATTATTTTAATTTTCTGTTCACCATGCTAGTCTTCCAATGTTCCATTTGTAATATATTTCTTAAGTGTTTTACATGATAATTGACTACAAAAATGTAAAAAATGAATGAATTATTAATCATTTTTCTGGTGCTTGTTACAGCACACATTTCTACAAACAGCTAGGTACAGAGCTCTAATGAGTGAGGAAATAAGGCCTCTGGTTGATGCCATATAGAGGAGTTAACCTGTTCATTTCTATATTTGAAAGATTACTTGTAAGATTTTAATCTGCATAAATTAAATTGATCAAAAACTATGGCTAAAAAGTATTTATATTATGTAATTTATTTGGTCACAGTGGACTAGTGATTTCTGTATGTAAGGAAATTACTTAATAAAAACACACAGTGTGGAGAATCTGCCTGCGACACGTACAAAATTTCTTCACATAAGACCAAGGGTTGTCCACAAGTGGGCAGTGAAGCACCCTCTGGTGGTCCCCTTGGCCTATACTGAGGGGAGGAGGTCCGTAGTGGGCTGTTGATGGTGCTTAAAACTAAATGGAAAAATGTTTCAAATGGTAAACAATGTTAATACAAGCATCGTAATGACAGCGCACAAACCAACTTGATCAGTTTTTTGCCCCTTGTCTCTAGAAACAAAATGCACTCGACTTTCACTCGTCCACTTGCGAGCGACTGGGGTAAATTGCATTGCAGAAACATTCAGTTTTATTTGCCACCATTTATTTTTAGTATAAAACAAGCTTACGTTAGCCTTATCTGTTGATATGTTATATGTGATGAAAATTTCTATATGTTTTAGCAAAAAAGTTTTGTTTTCATGTGGGCCTTCATGCATTATAGTGATATATAGGTGGGCCTTGAGGTGGAAAAGCCTAAGAAGCCCTGCAATAAACCAATCAGAACAAGTCTTCTTTATCCTACCACATTGTTCGACATGAGTAGGATAAGATACAAATGGTACACGTACAAGTGACATTATAAGAGGCTCAGCAGAGGAAATATGTGTGACACAAGACAGTGATCAGTGTCAAAAATCTTGTCAGACTGCTGACTGTGTCATATACAGGATTTTACATATGAGAACTTGGTAGGTAAGATTCATACTGAAATGAGTGTGAAGTGGGATTACCAGAAGGAAATTAGAAGTTTATTCGAGGCCTTGGAAGTCATAATAACAAATTGTGGCAAGATACAAGGTCATCCCTTTGCTATTCATTTCAGTGTCTGAACCCCTCTTATTTCATTTTATTCCTCCATTTACTCACACAATGTTCCATTGTACAACTCTGGACTGCTTCATCCTTGAGTGCTTGGAGCTAGAACTCACTTCTTTTTTATTTTTTTGTTGGAATTTTTATCCTGTTTTTTATTTATTTTGTTTTAGCAGGCAAGGTACATCAAGATCCACTTCTCAAAGACAAAAACAGGATGGTGGTTGTGGTCGTGGGTCAGCTCGTGGTCAAGTTTCCTGCAGTCTCTCCAGTCCTAAGGTCTGTTTCTTATGGTGCACAACATTTGAATATGATTCTAAGTCAGGACCATCGGTTTTCATTTGGCTCAGTTTTTACTGAAGATTACGAAAATGTCTGAGATTAAAGAGGCATTCCGGTCTAAATCTAGCACTCTTATTTGTTGGGTTCAGTGGTATTCTGTAGCTCTGCCTTGCACCCCTCAGCCTCATCACTTTAACAGAATTCACAATTTTGTGTCCTTTGAGTGTGTTCGCTCATCAACGCTCTCTCACTACAATACCCAGCATGCTTTGTGCAAATACATCATATTTGACAACCCTCCCACAGTGATAAAGAAATCCTGACTGCTAGCACAGCAACTGATGTAGAAGCTCATAAATATTTGGCTTCCTAGCAGAAGCGTTAGCTTTCTGCTTTATTTCTGCACTAGCAAGCAAAATCAAACAGCCCATCCTGAAGTATCCACCCCAAAGCACTTGTAGTTTTTTTTTAATTTCCTCCCACATTTCACATACATCATACAAAGGGTTTTTTTCTAGTTTGTAAACCAGAAAATATCATTCCAGAGACAGCAGTCTATGAGTAAGAGTGCTTGAAACACAGACACAAGAAGACTTTTCTAAAATTTATTGGCAAAGATGAACACCACTTTCAATCAAGTATTTTGCGCCACTTTGTGCATAATTCTATGTTTCATTATTACATTAATAAAAGTCAGACATACTTTAAAATGTCTTCATGCAACAGTTCTCTTTTCTTAAGCCTATTTAGCAGACTCATCTCAGACATGGCATCAGTAGAACATAGACAATCAGCAAAGAACACATAGCAAAGCAGAGCTCGAGAAGCTCTACCAAAATGGACACCTGAGGAGAGAAAGAAGAAAACATCATCAGAAATAATGCATACAAAGTGCAGTAATAAAACATTCAGTTATAATTATTCAGTATTACTATTTGAGAGGGACACTTCCCATCAGATCCCAAACACTTGCAAATTGTTGTTAAAAGAAGAGGTGATGAAACAGAGTGGTAAACATGCCTCTGTCCCAACCTTTTTTGGAACGTGTTGCTGGCATCAAATTCAAAATGGGCATATATTTTTCAAAAAACAATTAAATTTCCCAGTTTCAACATATCGCTGTTGTCAGAACAAAACCTCGTATCTCCATTTTTGACATTTTTCAGTTTTTGACATAATTTGAAAATACCCATTACCCTTTACATTGTATGTAAATTTTATGATGAATGGACCAAAAGAAACGGCCCAAAATGACTTGGAAAAAAAAGTCTGGTTCCATTAACTTACATTAAAAGTAAAGCAGGTTTTTTTCCTTCTCCTGTAAAGTCACCGTTTTGGAGATATGACATTTTCTTCCAACAACAGCGATATGCTGTCTTTATACTATTTTCAATGAAATATAGGGTTTAAATGATTTGCACATCATTGCATTCTGTTTCTATTTACATTTTGCACAGCGTCCTAACTTTTTTGGAAACCGGGCTGTATACATACATATAACTTATTCTCTGTAAATTACTATTTTCAACTAAAATGTATTTTTGATAAAGGAGGAATATGTACCATCCAATATAGCATTGGCACAGGTTCTCGTGTGATGTGGCTTGCTTGATCAGCAGCTCCACTTGGGTTGGGACATCCAGGGTCTCATCATGCGAGAAGTCCCGTCCTAAAAGGAGAAAGCAAAAAATATGGTGTTTGTGTACTATAATA